TACAACCATTCCAGAATCGTTCATGAAATTCACTGCTAATTACATTTGATCCATCTGCGACTCCCCTCGATATGTAAATGGAGACTCTTAAAGTCGAATATGCTATTTATATAACCGGATGGAATATCGTAGTGATCAGTGTGCCAACATCTCTGCAATATCGTTATTCACATCACTCACACGGTCCTTACTAAATGCGAAGCAAAAATGATTCTAAAGTTAGATTCCGAGAGTTGAGGAGTTTTCTGATCGATTGGTGGTAATTCCTCGTAGTACTTTTGGTGATAAGTGTTTAGAATTATGGACGAAATTTCATAATTAAACAAGTGCGCATGTGAATCTGATTTTCTTGTTAATTCCATTTACAGTCTTTCACTACTCAAACTTACTGGTGATAGTTAAGAAACGAACATACCGGGTGCGTGTTATTCGGATAGCCCTGAAAAGTTCACCAGTGTCATCGAACATGGAAGTGAATCAAACAGAGTAATGTCCATGTAGAAATAAACTCACTGTGGTGGTATCGAAACTAACCAGATCACAGTTGTGTGTGATTCTAATGAAGGGTTCAATTGCAAAGAATTTATCTTCTTGACCGAACACCTTGAACGAGCCATCCTTTCCACTTGTGGTCTTAGCAAGTAAATCGTGTGGGCTAACTGAACCAAAATGATGTTATTGTAAACATCGAGAATTCCTCCTCAACCGCCGTTCCCTAATGGTTGTTGGAATGTTTCCGAGTGCAGATATCGGGCGTTAGTTTAGCAACAAGTTCAGAAAATGAATATTGTCATCTTTGGTTAATCATTACTAACTGATCTATGATTTCGAGTGACTTTTTTGAGTCAAGTAAAAAATGTCATCGAATTTAAAAGTAATATCGTTCCGTGTACAACTCCGATCTTTTAACGCAATACACTGCCCAGTTGAGCAATCTGTTCCAAGCACTCACAATAATTACGATCCCAAAGGGCGATCGTCATATTTGGCCATGGTTTAGGGGGTTTTCTGCCGCAATAGAGACGTCCAATAACGGCTATACTTTGGACTTTACCAAACGTGCCATCGATCATCGTAAGCGCGATTATCAATCCAACGAA